CAGAGATCTCAATCTCCTTGACCCACAGGGACCTTCTCATGAGTCTCTAATGCTCAAAAGGCCACCCCCAATTTGGTCCCTCTTCCTCAGCTAGTCCTGTGGCGATCCATTCGTAGCCAACATCGATGCTGTCATTGTCAACCATGACAGAAGTACCGCAAACCACCCGGCCTTTGTGAATGCATTTGCATGGATTCATAGACCGTGACCCTAAGGTCTCCGTACCGTAGCAGATCCGACATCTGTGTTTGTCTGATATTCTCAATACAACCCCTCTCTACTAACCGGACCACTACCCTGCTCGATCTGCTCCACGTACGGTGGACGCACCGCTTCTAACTCCTCGAATGACTGAATTATGTTCCCGTCGGTCTCTCAAACAAACGCGACTACATACTTTTTACTCTCATCTCTTGCCCTCTATGCTCTTTTGACCGTGTAATCTAACACCACTTCGCAACTCTAAACGACTATTCTTTCAGAAACCTCAGGATGCACCGAGCCATCCGGGGCGGGGCGTGGCCCTGCCCGGGCCGCGGGCGGAGAGGGGCCGTTCTGGAGACGCGCCTGGACTCGGCTGTTCACGGTTCCGCCCAGTAAGAACGACGCGGGGACCGAAAACGCAGACGCCCCGGCCACGGCTGGACGTCTGGACCAGTCGGCCGGGGCGCGGAACCTGTATTTTAGCCCCAGTGACTCTCGGGTTCTGGTCCAGGCCCTGGGCTGCCGGCCCCTCGGCCACGTCCCGGGAGCCCGTGCGTCCCCCCGGCGCAGCGGGAGCGGAGCCGGCGGACTCTCCCTCCGGATGAAGTCACTGAGGCCCCGCGAAGGCGGCCAGCGGGACTCGGCCCGGCACCGAAGGGTTCTCCACGGGGGACCCGGCAGGACGCAGGCGGGGTGTGGGCTTTGAGGGCGTCCGGGGCGCTTTGTGGCAACAAGGTGGGTGTTGGAAGGAGGACGGACTTCCAGCCCTTCCGTGGGAGGGGGGACCCAGGGCGGCAGGAGACGGACCCAGAGCCTGTGTGGTCGGTGCCGGCCCGGTGCCGTCTGCCCGCTGGAGTCTGTGTTCCCGCTGAGAGCGGCTGGCAGGGTCTGAAACCATTTCTGTTACTTGTTGACGTGTGTTTTCTTTGGGGTCAGCCTTGTGGTCTCGGCTCTGTGCCCTGGCCTCCGTCCTCTGCTCCCTGTGCCCCTGGCCTCCGTCCTCTGCTCCCTGTGCCCCTGGCCCCGTCCTCTGCTCCCGTGCCCGTGCCAGCCCGGCTCACGCGATGCTTTTCCTTCTTCCCTGCGGGCGGACGCGGAAGGTGCCCGGTTCCCGTAGGACCGGCCCCGCAGGAGCTTGGGCTGCCCGCACCCATTCCAGGGGCTGACCCACAGCGGGACGGTCTGCAGGGGCGTTTCCCGCGCAGCCGCACTCCAGCCGGGCTCTCGGCCTTTCTCCTGAGGCCCCTCACTGCGTCCTTCCCATCTCAGTGACCAGACCCCAAGCCTGAAACCTTCTAATGGTTTCCCAGCTTTTTTTAAAAATCCTCACCCGAGGATACTTTTCCATTGATTTCTAGAGACAGTGGAAGAGGGGTTAGCCCAGGGGTGGGCAAACTTTTTGACTCGAGGGCCACAATGGGTTCTTAAACTGGACCGGAGGGCCGGAACAAAAGCATGGATGGAGTGTTTGTGTGAACTAATATAAATTCAAAGTAAACATCATTACATAAAAGGGTCCGGTCTTTTTTTTTTTTTTTTTTAGTTTTATTCATTTCAAACAGGCCGTAGTTTGCCCACGGCTGGGTTAGGCAGTGGTTCTCAACCTTCTGGCCCTTTAAATACAGTTCCTCATGTTGTGACCCAACCATAAAATTATTTTCGTTGCTACTTCATAACTGTAATGTTGCTGTTATGAATCGTCATGTAAATATCTGATATGCAGGATGGTCTTAGGCGACCCCTGTGAAGGGTCGTTCGACCGCCAAAGAGGTCGAGACCCACAGGTTGAGAACCGCTCAGTTAGAGAGAGAGAGAGAGAGAGACACATCGATTGGTTGCCTCCCACACGAGCCCCTACAGGGCTGGGGAACCTGCAGCCGAGGTATGGGTGCCCTTGACCAGGAATCAAACCTGAGACCCTTTGGTCTGCAGGCCAACGCTCTAACGCAGTGATGGCGAACCTTTTGAGCTCGGCATGTCAGCATTTTGAAAAACCCTAACTGAACTCTGGTGCCGTGTCACATAGAAATGTTTTGATATTTGCAACCATAGGAAAAAAAAGACTTATATTTTTGATATTTATTTTATATATTTAAATGCCATTTAACAAAAAAAAATCAACCAAAAAAATGAGTTCGAGTGTCACCTCTGACACGCGTGTCATAGGTTCGCCATCACTGCTCTAACCACTGAGCACCGGCCAGGGCCGTTTCCCAGCTTGTCTGGCCCTCGTATGCAGGCGTTCACAATGAATGCAGTTCTGCCTTGTCTAAGTACCGTCTTGCTCTAAGCTCTGTCTGTGGTTTTACCGCAAGGATTTCTTATTTGGAGACTTGGTCTGCGGGATTGCAGTCGTGTCACCTGACAACAGGATAGGTTCTGAGAAACGGTCCTCCCGTGGTGTTGTCGTGCGAACGTCCAGAGCGCGCTTACCCCTGGGTGGTGCAGCCCACTGCTCGCCGAGGCTGCATGGCCCAGCCTGTCACTGTGCAGAGTACGCAGGCGACTGTAACAGTGGTGTTTGTGCACCTAAACAGCTAAATACGAAAAGGGACATGAAAACACAGTATCAGAGGTGAAGCGTCCTGTGCAGGGCTCTCTCCATAGTGGAGCCGCAGGACTGGACGTTGCTCTGGGTGTGGTGGGAGTGAGTGGGGAGTGAGGTGAGGGCCAAGGACATGACTGGCATGGCTGTGGACTTTATACCCTGGACACCAAGGCTACATTAATTTATTTATTTTTCTTCAATGATACATTAACCTTAGCTTACTATTACACTTTTACTTTATAAACTTAAAAAAAAATTTTTTCAGTCTCAGCCGAGGGTAGTTTTCCATTGATTTTCAGAGAGAGTGGAGAGGGAGAGACAGAGAGAACATCAATGATGAGAGAATCATCTGTCGGCTACCTCTGCACACTCCCTACTGGGGATCAAGCCTGCAACCCAAGCGTGTGTCCTGAGCGGGAATTGAACCATCACCTCCTGGTGGTCGACGCTCAGCTACTGAGCCACGCCAGCCAGGCTGTTTCCATACTTTTTAAGGAGCTTGTTGAGCCGAACAAATGCTTCTGCTAAGCCCTTCCCTGTGAATTTTCCTGGAGGTTCTTATGGGACCACTGCTGCATCTGCAGTCTGTCGTTGGCTAAAATCTCATTGTGTGGCCCCCAACAAGCTCCCCCTCCCTCTAAGCCTTTGTCCCAGCCATTTTCCATTTCCACGTCCTGGCCAAGCTGCTGTCCTCCATTCCTTCCAGGGCACACGCCACGGCCGTAACTGGCTGTGCACCTGCCAAACAGTTCTGGCCACTTGTGTTTTTCCAGAACAGGCTCTGTCTGTCCTCTTCTTGGAAGTGAGTGGGGCCTGGAGAGCAGGCGCTGGCTTCTGCTCCCGCGTCCCAGATCATGCTCTGAGCAGGCTGTGAAATTGACAGCAGCCCACAGTCTGGACGAGGGTTGTTGGGGTGAGCTGGGAGTGAACAGAGGTGGTTTGAGTGGCTGAGACGATCTGTGACTCTGGACCTGTTCGTTTACGGAGAGTTTATTATTTGTCTGAGATTGGGGGGCAGGAAGGAAACCAAGGAGCAAGGTCTCCTTGCGGACAAGCGCAGGTCGCTCTCCCTTGTGTTGGGACAGGTGGCGGGAGGAGGTAATGTGTGTTGTTTTTAGTGTTCAGGAGTTCATGACCTTCACCAGCCAGCTGATTGTGGAGCGCTCGGCCAAAGGCAACAGAGCTTCCGTCAAGGAACAAGGTAAGAGGACCCTCCCCGCGTGTGCGCTGGCCCGGCCGCCACGCCCCAGGCCGCCTGCGCCGAGCACGCCCTGTCACCTCGAGGAGACGGGGCTGCCAGGACCCACTCGCCAGCCTGACCTCTCTTCCCTCCTCCTCCGCTTCCTTCTGCACACACTTCTGTGCCCTCTGCGGGCGACTAGCTGCTGGTTACAGATGCCCCAAAGCTGGGACGTGCTTCCGATTAGGGCCCGTCTGGAGCAGTAGCGACGCCTCCTCCAGAGTGTGGGCCTCTCAGAAAAGGGTTTCCCGCCTGCCTGTCAGGGCTGCTGCCTCCTGTGCTTAGATGTGGACAGGAGGCGAGTGCTATCCAGGCACGTCCGGAGGGGTGAGCGAGCTTCTGGCAGAAGCAAGGGCTGTTGCGTGATGCTGGGACGGTGGGTCCGGGTGTGGAGGTGCTATGTCCAGGTGACGGTGCGGGCGGTGTCGGGCTGTGTTCTGTGGGACCCTGTGTGCTCACCTCTGGCGGTGCAGTGGGATCCTGGACATTTGAATATTCTCAGTCCCCTCGGGGGGGACTTGGCCATCTCAGCTTGGTACTCAGGGACACTTCTCAGACCTGACCCCACTTCCCTGTGGTGTGTGCTTTGTCCCCATATGTGAGGGTCTTACTTGGGGGTGACTGTCTGGAGCGTGTCGGTGGGGAGCTCCTGTCCCTCACATCCCTGCGGTCGTCTATCTCTGCCTGTTTCTGATTTCAGGGCTCACGGCTTCCCTCGCCTCCTTAATTTGTTTTCCTTGTTTAGTTCTGAGTCTCCTGGCTGAGAGTCTTAAAGACAAGAAGGTTCTTCCTTGTCAGTCCTTGTCAGCTGCAGTCCTTCCAAGTTAATTCTGTGGGTTGTGAATGTCCGGCTGAGCCCTGTCCAGGCTGGCCTGTTGCTACTTGGACACTCACAGTTCCCTGGAGACCCCAGCCTGCGTGGGCCCCTCTCCTTGCTCCCTTCCTCCCCTCCCCAGAATGCAGCTGGCCAGACAGGAGCAGAGAGCTGATTTCCTGACTTGGGGCCACGCTTACAGGTTTTTAAAAAACGTGAGACTGCGTTGCTTGCCCAGGGTTTCCTCAGATCCGGAGCAGAGCCTTAGGGGGCTGCCTCTCCCCGAGACACTGCCAGGCTGGGCCTGGAGCTCAAGGCTGTGCCTGGGAAGGTGCCCTCAGACCCTGGTTGAGCACGCTGGGCCTCGGGGCCGTGCTGATGGCCATGCTCCTCTGTGTCTTGCGTGTGTCCTGTCCCGTGTGCATCTAGTCCTGTATGCGGCCCGTTAGGCTGGTCTGCAGAGTGGACCGCAAGCCTCGCTCAGGGACTGGCTGGTCTGCAGAGCTTCGTTGATCCACAGGCAGGAGCCCAGCAGGTGACGGGTTGACTGCTTGGGGTGGAGAGTCTGAGGCCCTCCTGTCGCCTGTGTGTCTCCTTAGAATATCTGTGCCACGTCTACGTGCGGAACGACAGTCTGGCGGGAGTGGTCATTGCTGACAGCGAGTACCCGTCCCGGGTGGCGTTCACCTTGCTGGAGAAGGTGGGTGTGGACTGGACTCAGGTGGACGAGTGGGACTGGGGCCGGGGTGACGTCAGTGCCCGAAGCCTAGAGGGGAGTAGTGTGTCCACCGGCAGCCGTGGTCAGCTTTCCCCTCGCCCTCCCCAGGCTCCTCCATGGCACTGATTCCTGCCCTGTGTCCAGGCTCCTGCCCAGGGCCACGGGACTCCCCGTCTGCCCACAGTCCCCGCCTCTCTTCTCTGGGACGGAGCCCTTGGGCCAGCGGTGGCTGTGCTCTCGCCTTAGTTACCCACCTCCAGCCCTGCCCTGTCCGACCTGCCTCCCCTCCACCGAGCCACCCCTGTGCCCCTTCCCTGGTGTGCACTCCGCACCGCGTGTTCTTCGGGTTCTTCCCATGGTCCGATTACTGACGCCTCGAGGGCACTGCCGTGTCTTGTCCCCGGAGGACTGATACACTTATGAGCACATGAAGTTGGTGGTGGCTTAAATCTTTCCTTTTTGAAGAATTGGTTGGAAAATTAGAGGACTAATTTTCCCTGGTTCCTGGAAAATCATGCCCTGGCAAAAATGGAATTTGTAGTTTAAATTCTAATACTTGTATCACTCACCAGCTGAGGTGTGTCTCAGGCTGGACACACTTGGACTTGAGAAGGAGGAACTTGGGCCTGGACTTTCCCTTCCCGTTGGCTGTTTGCCTCTGCCCTCCCGGGGCCCGGGGGCCAGAGAGCCTCTTGGGCCAAGTCCTGTGGCCGTGGGTGCGGCGAGCACAGGGGTGTCATTGAGCAACTTGGTCTTGCAGGTGCTGGATGATTTCTCCAAGCAGGTGGACAGGATCGACTGGCCTGTCGGATCCCCTGCTACCATCCACTACGCAGCCCTGGACGGCTACCTGAGTACCTACCAGGTAGGGGCCCAGCCTCGGGAACCGCCCAGCCTGACAGCTGGGCGCGGTGGCTTCCTGACCGCCTTGATGTCGGCCCGGGGGTCTCGGGGCTACGCAGGACCTGGAACCTGGGTGCCGAGCAGGCTGTTGCTGCTGTCGCGGCTTCAAGTAGCCTGTGAGGGTGTGTCCAGCTGGCTGGGTTTTGAGCTTTGATTCTAGGTGGTCACTCCAGTCCTGACGTCGTTTTTATTTTCGGCTCTTTCTTAGAATCCCCGAGAAGCTGACCCCATGAGTAAAGTGCAGGCTGAACTAGATGAGACCAAGATCATTCTGGTAAGGAAGCCAGAGATGAGGCTGCGGGGAACTGGGTAAAGGGCCACGCTGCCTTGCTTTCATCTGTACCTTAATCCAGTTAATTTTAAAAAAAATATCTTTTTATTGTTTCAGAGAGGAAGGGAGAGGGAGAGAGAGACAAACATCGATGAGAGAGAATCATTGATTGGCTGCCTCCTGCACGCCCCACACTGGGGATCGAGCCCACAACCTGGACATATGCTCTGACCAGGACTTGAACCGTGACCTCCTGGGTCATAGGCTGACACTTAACCACTGAGCCACGCCAGTTGGGCAATCCAGTTAACTTTGGTGATGTGAATCCGAGTGACTAGGCCCATGTGGAGATGGGGACTTTTTGCTCCTTCCTCACTCCATGCCTTTTCACATGTGTGAAATCGGGCTCAGTGGGCCTGGTGGCTGCTCTGGCAATGGCCATGGGGCGGGGATGTGGGGGGGCTGGGGGAAGGCGGAGGGGGAGGATGTGAGCAGGCAGTGGAGCTGTGGCCCTTTCCCCCCTTGGAGAGGGTCTGTGAACTTACAGGCCCCTCGAGGGAATCGGGATGTGCCCTGTCCGGTGGGAGCCCATGTAGATGCACTGGCCACCTCTGCCTGCTTGGCTGTCCGTGCCTGTGTCGTGCAGGACTGGGACATGCTCTCTGCGCTAGCAGACCCTTCTAGGTTCCATGGGAAGGTCAGGTCCTGGTGCCTGCCCACATCAACATGTGCTGGTGCTCGTGTGGGGGAGGGCTCAGGGGACGTGCTTGCCCTGATGGGCGGGATGAGGGCTGTGGCCACTCGTGAACGGGCAGAGCCTCACTTCTGTTCCTTCCTGCAGCACAACACCATGGAGTCCCTGTTAGAACGAGGCGAGAAGATAGACGACCTGGTGTCCAAATCCGAAGTGCTGGGAATTCACTCTAAAGCCTTCTACAAAACAGTGGGTACCTGGCGGTCCCAGGCCCCTTGCCGCGAGCAGGAGCAGCACGCCCTTGTCGCCTGTCCCCGTCTTCGGGCTGCCCTGCAGGGGGCGCAGGCGGGTTCAGGCTCTGAGCCTAGGCTCACCCTTGTCTGCTGTTGGCTGAGTGGTGGGGTGCAGCACCCCCAGATTCTGACGCTGCCTGTTCGCAGGTTCCTTGCACAGAATCTCACTGAGCAGTGGGGCGAGTTCGCTTGTTCTCCACACGCTGTTGCTTTCGTGTGTCCCTTGAGGGGAGCTGGCTGGGGGGTTGGGGTATCTGAACAGGAAGCAAGAGAGGAGGTCACAGGGGCCCAGGATCTAAGTGGGAGCCACTCTGTTGTCTGGAGAAACACCAGAGCTGCCAGCCTTGTTGGGTAGAGGGTGGGCAGGGGGTCCTCAGCCAGCCAGAGCCCATGCCCATTTTTGTGTCGGGCGCCTTCCTGGTGGCAGGGCGGGCGAGGAGGACATGGTTGTCTGTGACCTGTCCAGCTGCCGGGAGGTGGCAAGGGTGGGCATCACCAGTCCTTTCCCCTCAGTGCTCAGGGCTCTGTCTGTGTGCCCAGGCCACCTCCTCAGCCCCTCTTCTGCTCCTCTGTCTCTTTCTAGGCCCGGAAGCAAAACTCGTGCTGTGCAGTCATGTGACCGTAGTCCGCAGAGGCCCCCTTGCTGCATCCCCGTCATTCCATCAGAACCGCGGCCTCAGGAGATGCCTCGGCCACAGCAAGACCAGAGCACGGTCACCGTTCACTGGAGCTCCTGGAGGCGCCGAGGCAGCGGAAGGGACCTGGGGTGGGGAATGTTCAAATTCATGTTTCTGGTCATTTTTGAAAAGATAATTTGAGGTCCTCAGAGGTATTTTGGGGCCAAATGAAACCGTAAACACTCCATGACTCCTGCAGATGCCGAAGGGCTCTTGTCTAACCTGTACATCAACTGTGTTAACGCTTCAGTGAGGGGGTTCTCAATCCACAGGGCGAGGGGCGACAGAGCACACACTGGGTTCTCCTGGGAAAGCCGCCCAGGGTCACGGGGGTGGGGCAAGCAGGGTCATGAGGAGACAGCCCCTGGGATTCACAAGTTCTGAGACACAGTTTGCATTTCTGCTGAGACTGACTTCCACTGACGCCTTGGTGGTGTTGGAGGGGGCGGGGCACCTGCCTGACCTGCAATTGGCCTTGAACCTGGATCCCAGGCATGTGCCTCTGGCAGCAAAATTGTTTTGGCAACCACCTGGGCCTGCGTGTCTTAGCAAGTGGCCTTCCCGTGGCCACTATTACTGGGCATCAAGAGTAGGTGCCAGCCGACCAAGGACCCAGCACCCCACTTGTCTGAGTGTGGCCGCCCCCCATCCCTGCTGACTCAGTCCCCTCTCCCCCCATCCTTCTTGACCCTCAGCAGCAGGAAACCAGGCCACAGCCGCCCAGGCGATGACCCAGTAGGTCCCGGCCCCTTGGCCTGCCTGGTCCTGGGTCATGCTGCCCTGTCCACACTGCCTCCTTGCTCTGCGTGCCACCTGCGGACAAGGTGCCCTTGCTGGGGTGGCGTCAACCAGTGTGGTCTCACCCAGGGGTCCTTCTTTGAGTGTGCTGGTTCTTGCCCAGCCGAAGGTCCCACTCACCCAGCAGGAAGTGCCAGCAGCCCCAAATCTCGCTTGGGCCAGAGAATGGGATCTGTGTGGCTTCTGAGCACCTGCCCCAACAGGTTCACCTGCCGGCTGCCTTTTTCCCTGGCACTGCTGGCCTCCCTAAGGATGCTCCCTGCCCGTGTGACTCCTGCTGGACCCCACCTTAGGGTGCAGGCCCATCCTGTTCGTGGCGCCTGAGCTGGCTGTGACTCCACTTGGGACAGTTGGGTCATGGATGATGGGGAGGACGTGGGTGAGGGTGGATTTGGAAGAGGGAGGGTGGCTGGCGGAGGTCCTGTGCCCATGTGCTCCCTGTTCATGTCATCCGGCTAAGAGTGTATTTTAATAATTGTTGCCTAACTTTTCTTGTGTTGTTGGAGAGGTTCCTATCTGGATAAAGTTGTCTTTTGAAATTCCCAAAATGGTCCTGTGCTTTGTTTGAGCCTTGGGGGGGGGACCCTTCCTCAGTGTGCCCACTCTGTGCAGTGCACCCTCTGTTCTCTGCTGTGCAGGGGGAGGGCGGGGTCAGGGATGGGGGCCAGGTGTGCGAGCGGGGGTGGGGGCAGAGAGGCGGCATCTGCCTTAGTCCCAGGCACAGGCTGTATCTTTCTCAGACCTGGCAGGAGCCAGGCGAGGGAGCAAGCAGAGCAGACCCTGCAGGTGTGCGAACATCCTTGTGGGTTGGGGAGCCCAGTTCAGGGAGTGGTCCCAGCAGCTGGTCCGTGGAGACTTGGCAGCCTGGCCTGTCCTGGCCCAGGACCCTGCGCTCAGCTCACCCAGCGTGACCGTCCAAACCCACAGCAGCCCTTCCTATGGAGGCCCGGGGAGCTCTGCCCAAAGCAGGCGCCGTTTAGAAGCGACAGTGGGGGCCTCCTGACCTCCCTCTGCCGTGGTGCCCGCCCTGCCCACAGGCCTGCCGGCGCGCTGGGATGCCATGTCCACCTCAGGCACAGGAACCGGGGGGCCGGGCAGGAGGCTCCTCTGATTACAGCTGATAGGCCTGGGTCTAGGAGACACCGCCCGACACCGCTCTGGCTCTGTCCTACATTCTCCACCCTCTCAGGTCCCTGCGTGCTGCCAGGGGGAGCCCACGGCACCGAGACACTGATGCCAAGGGCCTCCTGGCCTGGGCCTGGCAAAGTGTCTGCCCCGGGCGGAGCAGGAGGAGGTGGCCAAGGTGGTCCCTGGGGTCTCAGTCTCGGGCTCACGGGGCACTGAGGTCTGGGGTGGTTTTGAAGCCCCCGTTTCTGTCCCAGGAAAGCACGTGGCACAGGTACAGACAGGCAGCAGCAGGGCCTGGGGTCGGGGTGAGGGAGGCCACTGCCTCCACGTGAGGGCATCTGGGAGGGAGGAGGGGAAAGGCCTGCAGCTGGGCCCGAGGGCGGGCCACGTGCTCTGATGGCCTTGGGCGCCGGTGGTCAGGTCAGCAGCCATGTGGTCAGTGCTAACAGCCTCAGGCCGGGGTGGTCATTCCCGAGGGAGGCCCAACAGGCTTCGTGTCCTGGCTGCAAGGATGCACTGGGTGACATCCTCCCGCTGAGGGTCAGGTCCGGGCACAGAGGGTGGGCAGAGCCCAAGCACAGGAAAGGCCTGGGGGTGTCCCGGGGTGTCCTGCTGGGGAGCGCAGAGCCCTGCCACCCCAGTCCTTCCTCCCGCCCTCTGTCTGGGCACCTTAGGCTCAGCACCTGGCAGCCCTGTCTCCCGATCCTGCTGGGGGCTCTGGCCATGTGGACCTTGAGAAGCCTGCCTGGTCCCTGCTGTCCTCGCCTGCTGTTTCATCTTTGCCTCCCAGCAGCCACCGCTGTGCATGGGTGACGTGGGTGTCGGAACCGTGCAGGCCTGTGTACTGTCTGCACAACCCAGGGTGTGGGCTCCTGCGAGCAGGCGGGTGGCCATGGACACCACATGCCCCAGCCCCTGTGGCCGGCGGTCAGCAAACCACGCAGGCGGGGTGGCTGATGGAGGGAACGACTCGGTAGGTCCGTGCAGCCCAGCCCTGCAGCTCCTCCCACCCCAGACACCACTGGGGTGACTAGAGAGGTTGAGGGGGTGGCGGGGGGGGTCAGGTATTGAAGCTGTGACTTGCGGCTGCACAAAGGGACCCCAGGCGGGTCGTCCACCCTGACAGGCTCAGGAAGGTCTGGACTCAGCCTCTACAGCCAGGCCCAGCTGGGGCCCCACAGAAGGGGCTGGGTGAGGGGTGGTGGGGTCCGAGCAGAAAGCACCGAGCTGCACATGAAGCAGTTTGTCCTGTTTGCCTTTTATTTGCAGTTTCCCGAGACAGAACAAAATAATTTTTTGTACACTTACAAGGCTCAGAAAGAAAAGACAACAAAACTCAGCAAAAAGAGAGGAGGGAAGCCGGCCAGCACCGCGGCCGCCGACCCCTGCAGGGCGGGCCAGCGAGGCCACACCATGGACATCAAGCTGGGACAGCGGGTGTGGCTTGCTTGTAGGGGTCATGCAAAAGAACTATCCCCCAGAAAAAAATCCCCAAATTAACCCAGACAGGCAGTTCCATGGAGAGGAGGAGGAGTGGGAGGAGGCCCCAGGAGGCGAGAGTGGCCAGGCACACGCTGTGGGAGGCAAGCCCTGCCACTCACTGCCCATGCCCATGGGGCCAGGCAGACGTTTACCATGTCCACGGGTGGGGACAGCTGTTCTGAGCACAGCTGTGGGTGGGCAGGTGAGTGTCCACTCTGAGTGGCATGGACAGTCTCCTTGGAGATCAGGTCCTGTGTCCTGTTTCCCATCCTATGCCCCTCCCTTGGGTTGATTTTGGGGGGAGATAAAAAAATCTTTGTTGAAAACAATGTGAATTGAAGAGTGCCTGGTACTGGGGCAGGAGGATCCCAGATCTCTGTGACCAGGCCGGTGGGACCTGCCCCCACCCCTGGCTGCTCTCTGCCACCATCTGACCACGAGGCCATCCCTGAGCCTCCCCGAAGTGAGCCCTGCCCCCTCCTCCCACTCAGGGTCCCCGTCACACTGCAGCCCCCTGAAGCCTGGCAAGTGGTTGGCTTGCCCTGCCCTGCCCTGCCCCCAGAGCATACTGCCTTGGGCCCGGACCCCTGCAGTGGCCTGGAGCCCAGGGAGCCCCCACCCCCTCTGACCCCTCCTTCCTGCATCAGGACCAAGCCCTGAGCCCTGGGCCCTCCAGCCCACGTCCCCCTGTGTCGGAGGAACGCCCCATGGACAGGAGGGAGGCCAGCCCATGGGTCCCCTCCCCACAGGGCTGCTGCCAAGGGTAGCCGCCCCCCGAGTCTGAAGCTAGCTGCACCCATCTGCACTTCCTGCCTCTGGCAGGGGGGCAGAGCAGAGCCAGCCTGGGCCCTCAGAGCTTCTCACAGGCATCCTCCCCGGGGTGGGCCTGGCCTCTGCACTGCCCGTCCACGTTGGGGCATCGGGGCGCGGGCCCGGGAGGAGCCCACACCCACCTTGGGGGGGGGGGTAGAGGAAGGGAAAAGAAGCAGAGGGAACAGCTGCGCTCAGGCCGTGGCCTGCAGCCCCCCAGACGACACCTGACACGACCCACCGCCAGCAGGGTGGGGGGCGGGCCCCATCGAACAAACACGTGAGGGCAACAGGCCTGCCCGGTGGACAAGTGCGCCGCCCGGCTGGAGGCCCGGAGCAGACAGACAAGTGGAGCTCGGTGCAGAGTGGCCGGCAGGCGCAGGCCCGCCCAGTGCCAGTCATTTCTACAGCGTTTTCCTTTGTTTAGGTTTTTTTTCCCATTTCATCCAACATATTTTTTTTTCTTTTTTTGTGGTGGTTGCTGTCATCTTGTTTTTAAAAAGAAACCACTCTGGTCTTGGTTTTCTGCAGACACAGGCACCAGGGGAGGAAGAGGCAGACACAAACATGCGACAGGCAGGCCGCGAGCCGAGGGCGGCTCGGCGCCAAACATGATCCGTCGGGCTCTGCAACGGTGAGGGCGGAGGGTCAGCTCCCGCGTGCACCCGAGGTCTGCGCCCCAGGTCCCTGCGTGCGCCCCAGGTCCCTGCGTGCGCCCCAGGTCCCTGCGTGCGCCCCAGGTCCCTGCGTGCGCCCCAGGTCTCATGCGAGCACCGCGGCTCCATCCAACCCCAGACTCCGCCCATCGCCCGAGGCCCCGCCCCGCGCGGCTCACCCTCACTGCAGCGGGGCCACGGGCGCTCCTGAGCAGTGGAAGTGCACGTTCTGCCACTTGCCCTCGCGCCGGTGCCACACGCGCGTCTCCTCGGACTGGCTGGTGCGGGGCCGGCCCTGGCCGTCGATGTACTGCGTGAGGCGGATGTAGGCGATGCAGGCCGCGTCGTCCCCGATGACGTGCACGTGCGGGTTCAGGATGGTCGTGTGGGATCGGCTTGCTGTTTTTGGCGAGCACTGTGGACAGGGCTGGGAATCAGCGCTACCGCCGCCTCTCACCGGCGCTGCCCGCTCCCTCCTGGGCCGGGTTCCTGGCTGCGTGGCCTGGGCAGGGAGGGGGCCTCCCCCTGGGCTTCCCGTGCCCCCCCCCCCCCCCCCGCGCCCTCACTCACAGTTCTCGAAGTAGAACCTGTGGAAGTCCATCCCTTCGACCAGGTTGCCCAAAGCTTCAGGCTCAAACGAGGTCAGGCCTGGGTCGCAGATTTTCCTGGGGGGCAGACCCAGGTGAGGAGGGCCCCCTCTGCACCCACCCAGGGCGTCCAGCCCTCTCTTCGGGGGACACTCAGCCCACCCATCCCCCAGGCTGCCCAAGGAGCCACACAGGCCCCGACTCACGCGTAGGCCTCGAAGTCCCCGCTGTTGACAGCCTCGATGAGCTGCTCCGTGATCTTGATGATCTCCTGCTTCCGCGCTGCAGGGAGAGGCCCAGTGACCCACGGCCACCGCCCGCCCCACCTCTCCTCTCCCCTCCAGGGCACCGAAGCCCTGCGCCCAAACTGTCCAGCCCAGACCGACCGACCGACACCCCCCACTTCTTCAAAATAGACTCGCCCAGGCCGAAAACCGACTTCTGCGCATGGGCCACGAAGTTTCAATCGCATTGTACGTGCGTGCCCACACGTGGTATTTTGTGGAAGAGCCACACTCAAGGGGCCGAAGAGCCGCATGTGGCTCGCGAGCCGGTTTGCCGACCACTGCTCCAGGGGACTAGGAAGGGCTGGCCAGCACAGCAGGGAGAAGACTGGGGGCTCGGGGAGGCCTCTGCCCAAAGGCCAGGCAGCCCAGAGAGCAGAGTGCATGAGCCTCCCCGTCCCCGGGAAGGCAGCCAACCAGGTGTTGGCCTGCGCCTCCTCTGGTCTCTACCTGCTTGCAGTCCTGGGCCCAGGTGCAGCCAGCACACCACTCGCCCATCCCGCGCTCTCCGCCACCCTCCAGGCTCCCGGCCTCAGCAGGCCTGGCCCCGGGTGGCTGCCCGGGGCCCTTTGTCTCCAAGTACATTTATTTTTGTGCAAAATATTTTCAACACATGGAAGAAGCAGAGAGGATAATCCAGCCACTCCGGGCGGACTCAAATCTGGACATTGTCCTATTGGCTCCAGATGCTTTTTAAAGAAATAACATCTCTCATAGTTGCAGGTGCCTGTGTCCCCTCAATCTTGTTCCGTACTCACTGTCCCTGGGTAGGTCTGCACCACTTCTGTGCAGACACAGGCGTGCCCGCACGCACAGGCATGCACACACAGCGCTGGTCTCGCTTGAAAGAACTCTGCAGGGCTGCCACATGGGATGGGCTTCTGAGGCTGCCAGGGGCTCAGTTCAGAGGCATGTGCCCGTGGTGCAGGCCGGCTGCCCCTGGGGCTGTCTGGGCGCTCCCTGTCCCGGGAACCCACCTGGAGGGGGACTGAGCCTGTGGCAGAAGACGCTGCCTGCAGGTGTGAGCCCACGCGTCCGACACCTGAGGGGTGGGTGACGCACGTGCGTGTCAGGTGGGAGTGTGTGCCTGTCTGCGTGCGGAGGCTCCCGTCTTGAAAAAGGCCCCTCTGGGCCACCGCACTTCTGCTTCTGTGCTGCTTTCCTTTCCTGCCCCTTGTCTGACCAGCAGGTTTGGCCCTGGAGGCTGGCCTCTAGGAGGGGCTGCGGCTCCAGCTCCCCAGGTCCCAGGTCTCCGTGCAGGCCGCGCGGCCGGCCCACCTCTCTGCCCTCTGCCTGGGCGAGTCCCAATGCTGAGCATCACCTTCGTGGAGGCCGTTTCCAGCTTCAGGCTCCCCTGTCTGCAGCCCATCGACCCCCAGACCCTCCCCGTGAGGCCTGGCCACTTCCTTCCCACAGCTGCCAGCTCCTGCCTCATCCTGTCCGGGCCCCTTGCTCAGGGTGAGTCCAGCCCCTGCCCGGACCCTCCACCTCCCACTGACCTGGTCATCTCCGATCTCAGACGGCGGAGCTGCCCCGCCCACGAGCCCTGGCCACAGCCCCCAGTGGAGCCGAGGGACATTGCACTTTGAGGTCACAGTCACCGGCTATTGTAAGTGACCCCAGCCTCGCACTAGGGGTGAAATATTGAGTGTTTTTAAACAAATTGTAATTTAAAATGGGAGTTGGTGTAGAGAAAGTATTAAGTAGACAGGACATTCCTGAGCTCACAGCATAAATCTGTGGACACGAACCAGCTCAGGGGGGCCACTGCTCCCACCACTGGCCAGGGGCCCAGGGCACCCCGGTGACTCCTTGCTGGCACCAAGCCCTGTGCCTTGGCGTCTGCCGGGGTGCGGGGCCCCAGCCATGCAGGCAGACAGCTGCAGGGTCAGGATGGTGTATAATCCTGATTACGGAGATGCAGCCTGGCCAGTGAGCACGACCCCATTACACACCAAGACAGCTGGCGCCGTGCACTTGAGAGAGGGGGGCCCACGGCGCCCGCTCCTCTCTCCCCCGCCCCCCGGGACACCCCTTGCCTGGGCCTCCGTGCTGGGCATCCCCAAGTTGGAGACCGGACGCCTGGGGTCGGCTCACCTGCTCAGACCCATGGAGAGCAGACCTCAGCCCCAGACAGTCCTTCCCCAAGCTGCCCACCCCGTCCTGTCACCTGGGGACCCTCCCGTCCACACTCACACACACTCAAGTTGCTGGGGTGCCAGGAACTCAAGTGGGGCACACCCAGGAGCAAGACTCACCCTGTTCCCCGAGGGAGGCTGGCTGGGAGGCCCCTGCCCTCGGCGCCCCAACGCCCCACCCCCAGGCCAAGCCACCTCTGCTGGCCCAGAGCCCACCCCTGCCATTCAGTCCTGCTCACGGCCCCTCTCGGTCCCCACGACCCTTAGTCAAGCTCCAGTCAGACCCTAAACAGGCAGAGCCAGGCTGCAGCCCACGCAGGCCTGTCCTCAGAGCCTGCCGGCTGCTGCGCTGGCCCCACGGGAAGGGCTGCAGCCTGGGCTGGTCCATGCAGGTGGCCCCCTGGAGCATCCCTGCAGGTCTCCAAGCCTCGGGACGGGTCCGGGGTCTGGGACAATGGAGCCTCTGAACTCAGACAAGACGCTGCACCGAGTCCCGGTGTGCCTACCAAGTTCACCCCCATTCCCACCACTGGGCCGAGTGGTGCCACCCCCCCACTCGCCCCAAACCCCCTCAG